GCACCCCCTCACCCCCTGCACCGCACCCCCTCACTCCCTGCACTGCATCCCCTCACTCCCTGCACCGCATCCCCTCACTCCCTGCACAGCACCCCCAGTCCTGCACAGCATCAGCCCCCAGCCCTGATGTTGCACAGGACCCCGACCCTGCACTACATCCCCCCATCCTGGCCCTGCACTGCCCCCAGCCCTGCATAACATCACTTCCCCAGGCCCACACAGCCCCCCCAGCCCTGCTGGGGGTCCCTGCCCAGCTGCCCCCTGCCCGGCCTGCACCCGCTCGGCATGGCACAGCACGGCACAGGAGCTGATACTGTGAACAGGCACCAGGAACCGACACCAGCACTGGCACCAGGCTCTGGGAACTAGCACCAGGCGTGGGAACTCGGGCACAAGGAACTGGCACCAGTAACTGTGCCACTGGCACCAGCCTGGCACCGGGGGAGCTCTGCTGGCACCAGGAACTGGTACTGGGACCCTGACTTGGCGCCAAACACTGGGATCCAGCACTGGGCACTGGCACCAGGAACTGGAACTGGGGAGGTTCTGCCAGCACCAGGAATTGGGTGGGGGGGGTCTGATAGCACCAGGAACTGGGGTGGGGTACGTGGGGATGGTGTACGTGGGGACCAGCGCCCATGACGAGACGGCCGCAGACGGGATGCCTGGGACAGGGCACATGCAACGGGATGCGGAAGATGGGGTCTGCAGGAGTAGGTGCACAGGATGTGGTGCACAGGGAAGGGTACCCAGGTCAGGTGCCCTGGTGGGGTGACAGGGATCTGGGACAAGGTGTCCCAGATGGCAGTAGCCAGGGCCAGCACTGTGGGGGCTGCTCCAGCTCTGTACTCCCAGCAAGGTGTGCTGGACACCTGGGTCCTCCACCTGTGCCCAGGGGAGGAGAAGTAGTCAGAGCTGCCAGGTCAGCCCCAGCAAGCCCAGCCAGAAGCTACACTGGCTTTTCCCAGCCATCTCCCCGCTTCCTGCCTGACCTAGGCTTACAGCCAAGGCTTTGGTGGCGTTTGCAAAGCAGCACTGTGCAGCCCCGTGCCCCAGTTTCCTTCCTGTGCAGGGCAGCCGGAGTCTAGGATGTCCCCGCCCGGCTGCCTTCCTTGCCTCCCTCCATGGGTGAAGGGCACTTGGGAAAAACCTGGGATGGGGCAGTGATGTGCCCAGCTCCCCACTTGAACATTTGATTGAGGGCTGAAATCCAAACTCCCTCCCCATCTGAGGGTCTGCAAATTTGCAGGAATTTCATTGCTTGCTTGGTGGTTTCTTTAGCCCCTTTCCACAGTGGCAATGCGGAGGAGGGGGCAGTTGTCACTGCTCGCTATGGCCCTTGCATTGACCTCTGGGGCAGGAGCAAGGGGGTGCAAAACAGTCAGACAGATGCCTGTGCTTCAGCAGAGCTTCCCTTTCCTGAGAGGGCTTGTCTAGAGGGGAATTTCACAAAACTGAAAATCAGTTTCACAAAACTGAAAACCCAGTGTCACAACACGAGGTTTGGCGGAGCATGCGGCAGCGTTGCTTAAATGCAGCGGGCAGGATTTGTGTGTCACACCATGCACAGTTTCTCCTTTGCAGGCTGAAGCAGTGCGTTCACATCCATGCAGCAGCCCGGTGAAGGAGCAGTGGAGGCTAGTCCTAACCAAGGCGAAGGACATGCATAACTCCTGTAACCTCAGAAGAATGAGTAAGAGTTTGTGTCACTTTGGGACATGAGGGCACAGAACACACGTCTGCGAGTTGCCTTGATTCACAGCCTCCAGTCACTGGATGGTGACAAACACATGGACGAGAGTGAAATGCATCTCCGGGATCATCACAGGCAGGACATTGTGTTCACAGTGAAAAATGCTCGTCTGATACTGTGCCAGACAAGTAGGGCAAAAATGGCCTGGGAGTTATTTCAGAATGGCACGCAGAAGGACACGCGAGATACATGAGACAAAACATTATCTTTTATCAGAGGAAAAGCAAGAGCAAAGGGCTCATGATGCTCAGATAACACAGCCCAGGTGGCTGCATGGGTACAAAATCCTGGAATGAGGAAAACAGGCATCAAAAATAATCTATTTGCTGATCCTGACCCATTTCATGGCAGGACAGCTCCACTGCAAGAGACACAAGGAAGCCAAGGAGGACTCGGCCAAAAAACAGGGCTGCGTTTAGAGCAGTGCTGCACATCGTCCACGACGATGAAATGCTCCCAGGCAATTTGTGGAAGTGTAAGCCTGACATAGGAGCTCCTGGTCTGAAAGCAGCTAAGTCCAAAGCAGCAAAAGCCCCAAGGTCTGGACTGAGCAGTGAATGTGCCCTGCCCTGCACAAAACTCAGGGAAGTGGGGACTTCAGTGCAGCTGCTCAGCTCCTACTCCAGCACTAAAACCGACGTTTACGCGGAGCAGCCCTGGTGCTGCCGACCGGCCCAGCGCGCTGCTGACGATACGGGGAGAGTGAAAACCTTGAATGGGGAACCGGGAAGGCACCGCCGGTGTAACCGGCACACGGGCCCTGTGCCGCCGGCGCGGCAGCACGCCAGACCCTGCACGAAAACGAGGGCCGGGGAGAGCAATCACGTATGCTTCTTTATAGTGCATTAACTCAAGAATATGTTTCAGTCCCTTATATTAAGAATGTCTTTTCTGGCCAATAAATATAAAACGTTTAAGACAATAATGACAAAATACCTGTCCCAAGATAGGAAGTCCTTGTCATCAACAGCACCATTATCACTGCTAAGCTATCCCTCAGCAAAGCTGGTGTTTATTAAAACAGGCGCTGACACCTTCAAACGCAATAAGAATTTACCAGCCCAGCTGACACTAACAGCCTAAGTGTCTGACCATGACTCATTGACTAGACAAACTCTTTGCAGAATGATCTTCCTTGTTCTTTATTACGATATCTGGCAATACAAAGTTTTGAATCCATTTTATATGGAAAAATATTATCGCCACAGTTAATTTGAGCAGCCTGTATTCCACTGTCACTGCATGAACGAATTCCAGAGTGGCAAAAAAATCCTGGAGTGATGAGAATGTCGTCTTCTGGTGTCCTTCTAACTGCTTCCCCTCTCCACAGTGCTGGTGGGTGTCGTGTCCAGGCTCTGACCTGGGAACCTCATGCACATCTTTCACTGTAAGCTCAGCCCCTGTCTTGTGTGGCTGCTCTTTGCAAGGTCAGTCTAGATTAGCTGTAATTCCCACCTCGAACTTGCTTTCCCTGCAATTTGATACGGCATGCTCTGGAGATCTGTGCTGTCCTGCCAACATTGCCGATGCAGCAGCTTTCCAGCCCCAGGCATCATCCAACTGTTAATGAAGGCAGTAGAGCAGACCTGGTGATTCCAGGTACCAGCGTCTTACTGGGACACAGATGATCCAACACTATCCAGCCATTCATTTGGCTACTGCCAAGGGATTTGTGAAATGTTTCTTGTGCCGTGACAGGCCCAGACACAGAGAACCCGAGCCCAAAGGAGAGGGAGATGCTGGAAGAAAGCAGTGCAAGTATTTCCGTATCGTCGTAGACTAATTCAGTAATGCTGGAGGATGCGATGTGACGTGAAGTCAGAGCCAGACCCACCTGGAACAGCCAGGGCTGCGGACAGAAAACGTGCTGGCAGTGCAGGCTGGAGGACGGGAGAGAGACTTACCTGCTCACCTGTACGTGAGGAAGGCTGTAGCTCACATCTCTCTGTAATCAGAGCTCACCAAGATTTTCCTTCTATGCCCCTGTCTGTGTGTCTCTTCCCTGCCTTGGAGATGCCTTGACAGCAATGAGGGGATTTGCGTGGCTGATCCTTTCGCTTGTCCCCGCAGGGCCTGGATGCAAGCGGGTCACAGGCTGTGAGCCCGGGAGACCCTTGGAAATGCTGCACCCAAGGTTTGCTTCCAAACCCATGCTGTGCAGGAGCAGCATCCCTCCGTCTGGAGCGAATGCACAAGCTCGGAGCAAGGCACGGAAAGACTAGCCCCACTAAACGACTCAGTTTCCCCAGCTTCCCACCCACATGCACATTAGTGTTTCACGAATCTGCTTGTTTTTCACTCCATAAATGATAGGATTTAGCATGGGGGGAACCACTACACAGAGACTGGCCAGCAGTATGTGGATGGGGCGGGGGATGCTGTGGCCACCAAACCGGTGTGTAAGAAAGGAGAAAAACGCTGGGGTGTAGAACATGAGGATGGTGCAGAGGTGGGAGCTGCAGGTGCCGATAGCCTTGAGACGGGCACCCGCGGAGGGGAGCTGGAAGACAGCCCTGAGAATCAGGCCATAAGAGACAGCAATGACCACTACATCTATCCCCACCGACAGCAGGACAACTGTTAAACCGTATGCAGCATTGACTTTTATGCTTGTGCAGGCCAGTCTGGCTACACCCGTGTGCTCGCAGTAAGAATGAGGGATAACGCGCTTTCTGCAGTACGGCAGCCTTTGAAGCAGAAAAACAAAGGGGAGGACAATGCAGAGGCTTCTGATAGCAGCTGTCAGCTCTATTCTCCATGTGATCGAGGGGGTCAATAAAGTCACGTATCTCAGGGGGTTGCAGATGGCAACATACCGATCAAAGGCCATGGCCACCAGAATTGCTGACTCTGCAGCAAAAACAAAATGAACTAGAAACATCTGAGCAAGGCATGCACCGAAAGAAATGTCCCTCAGTCTGAACCAGAAAATAGCTAACATCCTGGGCACTGTAGAGGTAGGTAAGAGCAAGTCTGCTACTGTTAATGCAGAAAGGAAAAGGTACATAGGCTTATGAAGGCTTTGTTCTCTTAATATGACAAACAGCAAGACTAAGTTCCCTAGAAGTGCAAAAATATACATGGAGAAGAATGGGACAGAAATCCAGAGGTGAAACTTCTCCAGGCCAGGGGTGCCAACAAGGATGAAAGTTCCTGGCCTGAAGTCTGTGTGAGTGACAGCTGCCATAGAGGTCTTTGATCTTCTGTTTAGAAACACCTGAAAAATAAAGTACAGTATAAGAGAAAGGTGGATGGTCACCACTGCAGCAGAAGAAGTTCAAGGCAGCAAGCACAAATTGAAAGGGGTGATTTAAATTCACCCCTAGTCAGAGGCTGCTTTTGGGTGCAGGCCACCCCACTCCCACGGAGCAGATTTGTTCCCCTCTTCAAGCCCAGCTGACAAAACCCAGTTGCTCCAGACATTCGGGAGGCCAAGCTTGGAGCTGCACAAGGGACTTCTGCGTCACAGCCCTGTCTGCGATGACCGTGCTCCATGAGCTCTCCATCCACATTTGCCTCCTCCACCAGACCCAAACATTCATACCTTATTCTGCTACACAGACCAGGAGTGGCACCGTTGCCTTGCAGCTTTGCAGCCTTTGGGTTTTGCAGAAGACGGCTCAGAGCCTGCCATGCTGCAGCAACGAAAAGCAGCTCCAGAGCTGAGTGCTGCACACAGTGAGTTACCAGGTCTGGCCTTAACCAGGAATGAGGAGCTGCAGGCAGTGACCTTGGCGGAGGATTTGCAGTGCTGATGTCTCAGACCTCAGCGTATTTATTCTCTCTTTCCACAAGTCCCAGAAGGATGCTTAGGGCCAACAGGGAGCGGCAGGTCTCTGGTCTGCTCTGACGCTTCCAGATTCAGGTGATTAAACGTAAGTCTGAAAATTAGCAGTACAGGGGCAGGAAACAAATCCATTTGCCCAAATGAGAAGGAGGGAGCGTAAAGAGGAGAAAGCCAGTACAAACTGTAAATAATAATTTTGGAATGGTAACTACTTCCCATGCAGATGAAAGGTAGCATCAAGCAGGAGCCTGCAGAATTTAGTGGGCCAGACAAAGCGTGGAAGAAAAGAGACAACACACACGATTGCTTTCATCGTATCAGAAACAGCTGTCTGTCTTGGAGTTAACACCTGGTCCTTCCCCAGCCATCACACAGCAGGCTGACACAGCCCATCCTGGGGGAGTCCTAATCGAAGTGAAGGTGCAAATCCTATGAACTTCTTACACACCTTACGCCATTTGGTATTGTGCAGCATCTTTTTAGTGTCTGTCAACATGCATCGCTTAACAGTGTGCCCCTCCAAGGGTGCGTTACCAGCATTCAGTCCTAACTATTGTTATAGTCTTAAAATATATAATCTCCAGAGTTCACTTGTGAGACTTCCAAGTATTTAAAGACTTTCCTGATGGGCAGCCAGATCTTCTAACCTGTGGGCTCATGACCATCAACAGCGTCACTGCAGCTGGTGCAGCTCTAATTAATCAATGCACAGATTAAGTGGAGAAAAGACTATTCTGCTCTCCAAGCTGCCTCCTTCCCTTGCACCTGGAGGGTCAGCAGTTTTCTAATGGACAAGTTTCAGTCCGGTTTCTGGAATACAGGGAGCTAACCTCGTTTTAAAGAGGAGTCCAAGCAGATGCCCCGCCAGTGAGCTAGTCTGATGCTCAGCAACCCTGGCTGATCGGACACTGCTCCTTGCCACACAGCAGCACGGACATTTTGAGGGCCTTGGCGGTGCTCTGAACAGACCGTGCTGTTGGCAGCTATTCATACAGAGCCCAGAGCCCCGCAGAACTGGCCTCTCCTCGCTCCGTGCTCACTGTGCCTGCTGAGAGCGTTTCCTCCCGGTTACACAGAGCGTGCAACTATCACTATTCCTTTTAACATCTGTCAGATCAAGACTATGACTTGAACATGTATTGCATCTTACTATAGGGATTCACGTCAGTAGCCGGTGAAACTCCAGGGAGGAGATCACAGTTCATCCCGGAGCTCTGCAGCACCTTTAGAGTTGGTAGCTCTCCGTTGGTTTTGCAGAGGGGAAACAAAGGCACAGAACAAATTTTGCCTCCTGGGCTGCTTCTACCTTCATATATTTCTCACCTCCAGCCTTTCAGAGGCAGAAGACGTGTCCGTGGGTGTCTGTGAGCGAGAGAGGGTGAACCCCATGCACACAGAAGACGTTTTGCATGAAGCCTGCACTCAGACTGTGCTGAGGGACTCTAGAAGCATCTGTACCAACAGCCACAGTGAAAGGAGGATGCCTACGAGAAAATCCATAAGGAAAGTGTCGTAGCATGTGAATAAGCCAGCATGCGAAATGCTACCTCAGCTTGTGCTGAATTAACTACAGCAAATATTTCCATGGCGTACAGAAATGGCAAAGAATTACACATAATTACATGTACATGACTCACGCTAAGTCTGAAAGCCCTTCTGATTTGCCAGATGCAGACAAAGGGCAACAGCTACCCAGAAGTCAGCTAAACAGTAATTCCCTCATTAAAACTTCCTCAGCCCATTTCTGGAGGTTGCTGAGCTCCCATCTCCTCGTTTCTGAAGCAGGAGCTCCCTGCCGGGGGGAGAGCCCAGCTACTGCTCGGCCCCGTTTCCCACACAGGAGAACCAGTCACCGCTCCTGGATCTCCCCGAGGGCATGGGGAGAGGCAGGTGCCAGCAGCAGGGTTTGGCCACCAAGACATGGATGTGGCAAGGGTTGCCACGGCCAAAGCGAGGAGCGAGGACAGTGAGACGTGCCAGCACATGGAGCACGGGATGGCCCTTTTTGTCACAAAAATGAAATTGAGGAGGAACATCTGGGTGAGACAAGCACAGAAAGAGACTTTTCTGGAGCTGGACAGAAGGTGGTCCACACCTGGGGCACCACCATCAGACCTGCCCCAGAGGAGCACGCATGGGGTCCAGGAGCCTGTCCCGACACAGGGACCGCGTGCCTTTTCCCTGCACCCTCTAGAGCCCAGGCTCCAGGTCCAGGCCCCAATCTTCGCACCGTTCCCTCTGTTACCCTCTCACAGCAGCTCTCCAGGCTTGTGGACACCCATGCCAAGGTTCATTTTCTTAAAACTCCATCCTCATTTCTGTCTGAGCAGGAAAGAAATCTCAGCTTGACTCTAGGTGTATGAGGAGCACCCAGCAGAGGCAAGCAAGCCTCTTTTAATTATTGCTTACAAGCTGGATATATTTGCTGTTCCTCACAGCAGGGATAATTTTCCAAGCACATCTACATTTTGAGAATACCCTTTCCATGTGCACTGTTTCTCTGGAGCTGGAGAGCACTTGCTGGTGGCCGTGATCACCTCCTCCCCAGCACAGCTGAGGTGACGGTGGTGGCATTGATGAAGTGAGAGCTGCAGATTTGGAGAGTGTTTCTGTTCCATGTTCTTTAAAAGTCCCAGCTACCTTCCCATTGCTCACTGTTTGCCAGCACATTTTGGCAACTGCTCCTCTCCACAGACTTGCCAGCTGGCATCTCTGGTCCCCGGTGCCACCCTCGCACCTCGGCGATGCCTCCTGGGATGGGAAACCTTCCCGCAGCATACTTGCAAGATGCAGTAGATCAGCCCAATTCCCTGCACCCAGGCCGTGTGGCACCACGTGCGGGTACAGGGTTAAAAAAGTGGCACGAAACCCAGGAAAAGCCAAAGTCCTTGGTGAAGCCGCTGCAGGGGCTCCATCACCCTCACTCCTTGTGGTGGGGAGCGTGGCACGAGACCCCGGGTGGTGGAGGGGTGCTCCTGTGTCCCACCAGCTGGAGGGGTGGAAAAAACACAGGCTTTCCGCTCACTTCAAAGGGCCAGGCTCCCTGCCAGCCAGAGAAGCTCCTGTCCCGCGTCCTTTGGTGACATTAAGCCAAGCCCATCCCCACACTTCGCCGTGTCCAAAACCTGGGAGTTTCCTTCCTGCCCGGTCAAAGACTGAGCAGAGCCACGTGCTGGCTGGGACACGGTGGTACCACAGGGACCATCTAACACATGGGCAATGCCTGGCTGCAACCCAGCGTCCAGGGCAGAAGCAGAGGAAGGGTCAGGTGGAACCGCAGGAGCTCTGCTGACAGGGACAGAGGTTGGGCACTGCCCGAGGACTGGCAGTGGCAGGGGGGGGGCGCCCCGGCGGGGG